GGCCCGCCCGTGTCCCCCCTGGCTCCCCGCCGCCTGCACTAACCGGGGTGGGGAGAAACGGTGTTTGGACGGCGTTTCCGACCCGCGCCCAGCGCTGTCCGGGAAGGACGGCCTTTGCCTTGCGGGAACAGCCGCCTCAGCGGGGGAGAGGCAGCCTGAGCCCGCTGTCGGGGCGGGAGGCGTTACAGCCCGGAGTTGCGCCGTCCGGCCCGCAGACGCAGAATCTCTGAAAAGAAAAATACTTTCTGTTTTCGAAATAAAGTGTTCTGGTATTTCTGTACGGGAATGTAACTGTCTTGCGTAAATAGGCACTTGCCACTAATTAGTGACGGGGAAAGCAGCTGGTCGGTGCGGTTGGTATTTATAGGACTGCGCCGTCAGTCGTCTTGTTACGCTGGCACAAGTATGGTCGGTCAGCGGCAGGGTATAAATACGACCGAAGCTCAGATTCGGGCTCAGCATCCGAGGTCTCACTCGGGAGTGAAAGCTAAATTTGTCAGAAGGGGTGTCACTGTCACCCAGGCGGCGGGGCGGGACGGGGACTCTGTCAGCGCCGCGCAGGCCGGAGGGAAAAGAACGGAGCGGTCCGAGGGCTCATCTGTCGGGAGCTCCGGCACCTCCGCGGGACTCCCAGTCAGAGTGCCTCTGTGTATGTGCATGTGCGCGGTGGCGGCTGAGGGTGGGAAGCCCCAGATGCCTGAGGGGTCCTGTAACAGCCTCGTCTCGGGTGCCATAGGAAGCACTGCCTAGTGCTGCATGGATGCTCCAGCACTTGTTCCAGCAGTCACCATTTCAGCCACGTTCTCCCAGTCCTGGTGCTGTCTTCTGTTGCGCTGCCTTACCGAGTGAAAAAACTATATTGGAGTTTTATCTCACCGTCACATCCTTTCAAGAACACGCTACCCTCAGGACAAGATACTTACTGTCCTGTTGTACAAGATTTCCGTGACCTTTTCCCCAGAGCACAGACCTCTTCTCTCTTCTTTCCCTGCCTAGCCAATTCTGAGTTTGTGCAGGGTTAGGGTGGCTTCCAGAACATCATCAAGGAAGCCCTCCATAAACTTGTTCGGGTCAAGCACCTTTCTCAACCCATTTCCTTGTTCTTTGGCAACAGAAGAAAACAAGATTTTTTTTACCCATTACATCAGTGTAGACACATAAGTGCAGTAAGCTTAAGGTGCAGCTTCAGGGTTCATTTCAGATCAACAAACTTAATCCCATCAAAAAGATCAAGCCCTTTCTTTGAAGAATTGAACCCTTAAATAGCAACCTGTTCCATTCAAGGGAGGTGGAACAAAATTTTGGACAAAGTTACAAAAATACATCAAAGGTTTATTTTCCCTATGAATATCTACAAGAGTTTCTTCTACATGTTAATTTGTTACATTGATGGGATATCCCTTGCAATCTGGTAACTTCAAATAATTAAATTAAAGCTAGGCTAGCCAAGTTCCCCGTGCCAGGTTTGAAGCCTTACAGTATTGTTCTTAATGCTGCATGCAAGCAATAGAAGTTGAATGCAAACCCTGTGCTATCAAACTAACTTAAAAACTGTATCCACTACACGCCTTTTGGATAGACTTATTGAGAGTCTGTCTAGCATTAGCATGGAGGGAACTAAAATCCTGTGTATTGGTAAATGACCTGCAAGATTATGTC